ACCAATATAAAGGTCAATGATTTTAGAAATTGAGTTCTTCTTGTACAAGGGTGGTGTTAGGAGAACTTTCAAACCTAGAACTTCTGCAAGTTAGGACTTTTAGTCTTATTTGTCAAGATGTCATCTTCTTCTACTAATATTTCTAGAATGTAATAAGTGTTGAGAACTTCAGTTATAGATAAGGCTGATCTTCTTTGACAGAATTTTACTGACCAAGCTTCAGATATTCATTTTAGACTTTTAGAAAAATTAATGTTTTCTTAATGTGGTATAGGGTAAGGATGCTTATAAGAAACAGATACTATCAGTACATTAATATATAATAGTAGATGTACAATTTTTTCTATTTTGCCTTCATCATTTAAAGATACATTTTCTAATAAGTTCCAAGACCTTGGGAATTTGTTTTTCATTGAGATTTTGATTACCAAAGGTTTTGTTGACATTTCTTTGGACTATCCAGACTTGTTTGTCAGTAAGTGCTTCGAATAAGATTGCACATTTCTCTTCTAATATACTAATTTCTAAGCATTTACTAACAACATGTTTTTTTATTCTACAATAGGAACACTAAGTTTCTTTTTGAAGGCTTTTTCAGGTTCATTCATAGTTTAGAACTTGCTGGAAACAGGTCTTTTTCATTTGGATTTCATTCTTTTGTCTAAATGGTGTCAGGTAAGTCTTATACATTTAATTTCTTTACTTCATTTTCAATATTAGCTATTTTACTAAATCACCTTTTCCTATTTTATTGACACACCATGTGCTATCAGAGTACTATGTCTTATTCCACAGTCCAGCTGTTCTTGAATGTCGAATCTCACAGTCATCACCAAAATGGTACCAGCGAAACAGTGAGTTAGTGTTTCAGTCACTTCTCAAACAGATATGTCTTGTAACCTATGAATGACTTAGTCAATAAGAGGTAGTTGATTTGGAAAGTGGTGTGTTTATGATTGTAGGTTTTATAATATGATTAAACAGAGAAATTATTGGAAGCGAATTTATAATAAGAACTAACTGAACTGTTCTTGAAGGGCTCGAAGCCTTTATTATATACTTTCATTTACATAGGACATGTTATACACTTTATTCATGATATATTATTTATAACATTTATACCCATTATACTGATAATAATGTTTATACTAATTATTTTAATTATACTCTTTGTTTTGTCTCTTATACACTTGTGACTTTTCAAGGAACAACATACAGGTTTTATTTCTTCTGCCATTGAGTATTCTATGCAAAATTACAAAGCATCGCTTTTTTTTTTTTTTTTTTTTTATTTTATTATTTTATTTATAAAATAACTGTCATCTCAACAGGCCATAACTGTAAATGACAACTGACCCTTTATTAGGTCATCAAAAACAAAAAACAAAAAACAAAAACAAAAACAAACTTTTAAATGACTATCATCCTGACAGGTCATTCATAAAAAACCTCAAATTTGATGAAAACAATATATAACTAATGATCATAGGTAGGCGGGAGGGATCGACAAAACCAGACTAAAAGTCAGATTTGCAAAAGAAATAAAGTTATCTCTAACTCTATTCAATACAAAATACTTAAATACTCAAATCAAATAAACTCACAAGATGTCATTATTACTGATGAACATACTAATTCGACTAATCATAACAATTACCTCATAAAATTGAAAAGTCTAATTCATTACTAAAAAAATCGTCATACTAAAACATGTCATTACAAAACTACTCATGTGACCATAATAGGGCATGTCACATGCCTAGTTTTGGCTGATTCGAGACAAAAGCTGCCTTGATACTATCGTATCGAGCAGCTTTATTGTTTTGTCTCTCATACGCTAGTAACTTTTCAAGGAACAATATACAGGTACTAATAGAGCATCGTTATGTTTCTTTTCTCTTTTTCTAAAGCAACATGATTCAATTCTCAATACTGTAACAAGAAAAATAAACACTAAACTCCTGGCTAATTACTAATCAGACAAAACCCATAATGCTTGAAGCACCTAAATCTGCCATACCTATCACCATAATGTACAACCTAGCTGCATCTGAAACCCAACTGCCAATAGTTGAATCTGCTTCATAGACAGACCTTCCCTCATAGCTGCTGTAGCATTACCGATTCTTAAACTATGTGCAGTAAACCTTCCTTCAATATGAGTGTGGTTCGCTATATATTTAACTATAGCTGAAATTGCAGGTACAGACATGCCAAGTCCCAACTTTGACAGAAAAAGAGAAGTATCATCGTCTACTTCAGGTCTAATCTTAATATACTCCTCTACTAATTTAACAGAACAATACCTACTTTTTGATCTCTTTACAGGAATGAACTTTTCTTTAGCAAATTGATCTGTTTTCAACTTGTTTACTTTTCCCACAAGATATCATCGACCTACTTAAGGTCCTTTTTTCTCAAGTTACAAAGTTCCCCTAGACGTCTCATCATTTTTACCTCTAAAGCCACTAAAGCAAGATCCCTAATCCAGTACTCATAACTTACATTTTCTGAAGGACAATCTAAATAAAACTTAATAGCTTCAACGGCAATGGATCTTTCGGCCAATCTGCTTCAGCATTCCTTGCTACCATTTTCTAACACTATTTACCAGACATTGCACTGCACTACCTTTAGTCGGGTCTGCTAAACTCTTGACTCGATGCATCCTGGACACTGCCGTTAAACAGCCTGCAATATCAGAACTACATCCCAACATCTCTAACCATGCTATGAAAGCTAAAACTGTCATGTTCAAAACAGGGCATAAAGTACAATTTATCCTTTTAGCAAAATCCTCAAAGATCATCCAAGCCTTTTCCAATTTTCTTTTGTAAGATTCACTAATTGCATTATCAACCAAAAACTCTGCCCGCTCTAAGAGTCCCTGCACCAACTTATTCGGACTGCCTTCAAACACCAATTTGGGTTGTTGCACAGTTTCAGACAACCCGACGGACCTGGCAAAACAATCTCTACTGGTGGTAGAAGATCCATTTCTCTCCTTGCGCATTTACTATAATTAGCCACCAAGGTGCCACCACCTATACCGGAATAATAATTACTATAAGAGCCTTGCATTCTTTCGCATGCACTAACGCACAATGAACCATTAAAAAGGATGAAAACAGATAGTTTACAACACCTTTCCAATCCTGCATGAAGCAGTCTACTGCTTCCGATCCTGGGCAGAAATGCGGACTGTTAAACCTTTTTAATTTTCTGTTCAGATGGTCCACAAATCTGTTCACATCGAATTTTCCCAAATAAGCTTCAAATTCTCTTACTACTTCCATCTTTAAAGTCCAATCTCCTAAATCAGATATTCTGATGATTACATCAGCCAAATTCCTTTCGCTAGGAACCCAGAGGGCTTGAAAGATTTCTATATCCTTTTCTAAACATACCTTCCAAATCTCATACAAAATATCCTTCTGCCAATCCGATGAACCCCCTTTCAAAATCGTCTTCAAAGCAACCTTGTTGTCTATCATCAGGGTTATACAAGAACCAGTTAACACCTCTCCGAATGCCTGGAGTACATGCAATACTGCAATTGCCTCTAACTGTGCAATTACATCTGCCATCAATCTTCGTGACCAACTCCCTTTCACCACAAAGGCATTGAACACCCCACTCCAACCTATTAAGGAAGCATCCACATAAACCACCTTCACCCTGGATGGCTTCCATGCTGAACAGCCATTCCAAGCTCTTAAATTCTGTATTAGCCATTCTACATCTTCTATTGCCTGAGAAGATAGTCTTATTATCTGGTTCCACTCACTTCACAACTGATTTTTCACATCTATTAAACTGTAAAACTCTAAGCTTTTCACCTTTACTAGGACAAATGCTCTTGCAAGACTCTGAATCTTTCCTATGACTGATGCTAAATCCCGTATCGAGATTACCAATTTTCCCAATAGATTCTCCAAACGGCCAACAGTAGTAGCGATCTTGTCTTCTGAAGCAATTACAAGACCCTCCTTCAAGTTGATAATCAGTCCACAAAACTTGGGGTCCTGCATCGGCTCCCAACTGCCTTTGTCCTCTGCTCGAATCCAGCCGCAACCCTCCAAATCCATCTCTATTACCTCCCTCCGTTGTCTTAACAATACATCCCCTGATGAATGAATCACCCAAACGTCTTCTAGATAGTTCCCATAATAGATTCTCTGAACTCTCCAACTTCTGATTAACACTTTCATTATTTTTGCAAAGATTCACAGAGACTGATTTAGGCCAAAAGGAAGAACCTTGTAAAAGTACCATTTTTTGTTGACGACAAAACCCAGGAATCTTTGAGCTACATCATCCATCATCACATGATGATATCCGTCCTTCAAATTGAAGGTTAAAACCCATCAACCTCTTCCAACTGTTCGCAAAAGTGACCCAATGCCCTCAAACTTGAAAGACTTTTTCAGCAAGGTCGCATTGAGTCTTCTGAGGTCTATGATCAATCTGAATTTCTTCTTTCCTTGATTTGGAACTACAAAGACAGAACTCACCTTCAGCAAAAATTCCAGCCTTAATAAACCTTCGCCCACCAATCCTATCGCCCCTGACTTGATTAAACGTTGTAATTCTTGCTCTATCCATGAAACCTCCTCCATTGAAAACTGTCTGGGTCTTGACACTTTTTGCCCTATTAACCTCATTACCCCTCTTGGGAACAACAAAATTCTGTTCTCTAACCAACCCATAACAATTGGGGCTGGCTTTATTACCTCCCTCCAATACCAAACTGCTGAATCTGAGTGCAACCTTCCTGCAACCACTCGACAGTCACCCACATTCTTCAACTCTACCCCCTTCTCCAAATCCTTTTCCCGAGTGTAATCAACTCTTTCTTGACTTCGCACCATCTCCCCGAAAGGGCAAATTCAGGTGCTTCTTGAACCGCATTCGTTTGCATAGTGACCCTTGCCCTCACATAAGAAACAAACTACCTCTCTAGCCCCAATCCTAGCATTCGCATTAGAGCCACTAGATGACTAGAACTTCCCGTGGCTCAACTGAAGTTGAGGACTACGCACTCCATTACGAGAGAAACTATCTTGAGGTGCTGACTGATCCGAAAATATAGGGCTAGTCCCACTTAGCGAACCAGACCCATTCCACTAACCCCAAAACCAACAGGAGCCATACCCATTGTTTGGACAAAAGGTTGTTGCCACAACAGTTGCACCAAAGGTTGAGGCTGAAACAAAGTTGTAACGCAGGTTGCGCACCTTGAAAAAATGGAACATGGACCTGCTTATCTTGAGATTCACTCCTTCCCAAACTTTGATCCTGCGATACTCTAGGTCTCTTATTCTTATTAAAGGAAGGACGTTGTGCAGCCAATCTGGCCTTCTCTCTTCTACCACCAAACAACTCCACCATTGGGTCATTCTCGCCAGATGCCATCTTCGCTGCCACATTCCAACCATCCTCGTCAGCGACCGTAACTACATATGCTCTTTCAAGGGCAATCTGTCTCGCCAACTGAACAAATTCTATATCTCCCGACAACAATGCCTTATCCAAAAACGTGCCCACCTTGCACCATTCATTATACTCCCACTGATTTCTTGCCTTCGAAAGCTCCCGTCTCTTCCAAATACTCTCATTCATATCAAAAGGCCATGAAACTTTATTCGGGAACCCAGAGACTTGCTGCGACTGATGATTACCCAAGACATTCGAACCAAACCTCTTCTCTTCTGACCACACCTCAGCCGGACTACTAGCCGAACCAGATGCCTGATCAGCCAACAACATACCAGCACTTCCAAACAAGGTTGGCGTTACATCCTCACCGCTAGACGGCACCTTACCCCTTTCAGCAGAGGTCTCCCCTGCAACTTCCCTTCTCCTACTCTCACTCACCAAACGGTTAACCAAATCCTGTTTTGAACCGGTTTCAGAAACCCCCAACTCGTGACACAAAAATTTCAACACATCAACCGACATACGACCAAAATTGGCCTCAAAATTAGCCTGGATACCCTTTTGCACTATCTCACAATCACTATTCGAAGAAGACATACGTTCATCAATCACTTTCTCTTCAACATTTTGCACTTGTTTTTCTTTATTATTATTATTATTATTATTATTATTATTATTACTCATTTTGCTTTTAGGACTTCCTCGACAAAACCAGACTAAAAGTCGGGTTCGCAAAAGAAATAGAGTTATCTCTAACTCTATTCAATACAGAATACTTAAATACTCAAATCAAATAAACTCACAAGACGTCATTATTACTGATGAACATACTAATCCGACTAATCGTAACAATTACCTCATAAAATCGAAAAGTCTAATTCATTACTAAAAGATCGTCATACTAAAACACGTCATTACAAAACTACTCATGTGACCGTAATAGGGCATGTCACATGCCTAGTTTTGGCTGATTCGAGACAAAAGCTGCCTCGATACTATCGTATCGAGCAGCTTTATGATCCCACTGATATCCATTATTCACCCGATACATCGGATACATGGTATACGGCAAATACAGCGTATACTGCCGGGAAGCCCATTTAAGGTAGGTGATCGACATACCCATCACCGATCACAAGCTTCCAGCACCACCATCCTACTGCTCACAACATGTATTCTGTGCATCGGGTGAATAATGGATATTGACACGGGCGAAACGGCGAGTCTGTCGCTTGACAAATGGATATGTCGTGTAACCTACGAACGGCTTAGTCGATAAGAGGCGTTAGATTTGGCGAGTGGTGTGTTTATGATCGTAGGTTTTTATAATATAGTATCACGAAAGCAGGAAAGTATTTGGGTCAAAATGTATTGCAAGCACGAAAACTACCACTCAGGTAGAGCACGAAGCCTTTATTATATACTGTTATATTACATATGCGCTCCTACAGCTATTAAACATACTAAACTTATTATTTAACAGATATATTCTTAATGTCCTGTATTACTTAAATCCCCGTTATATCATATATCCCTTTACTTATAGTTCTTCCTTAAAACCCTTATCACCGCTATTACCCTTATAATTGCTAAAGATTCTATAGGATTTTTAAGAGCGATAATCCCGGGAAGCCCATATTAGGTAGATGATCGACATAGCCGTTAGTTATTACTGCGCCACCTCGATCACCTCCCTTCACGTGCTTCCGGAATCACGTTTCACGGGTCACACCGGATAACAACATATAACGATAAGAACAACTTTAATTTTAATAAAAACACACTAGTCCTAATGTTATTTAGATAAAAATACTGGTCCATATCTGCTATTGTCAGACATGATTTTTTTCGTATTTTTAACACCTGCCATTGCATAAAAAATACCTCAAGAGTACTCCCATATTTACATAAGGAGAACTTTTCTGCGTTGCTAAAAGAAAACCCACAACGCAGTAAGATGCTCCGATGTTGGCAGAAAAAGTTCTCGATCAGGTGATTGTGACCCAATCAACGATCAATAACTTAACATTAATTAATACATTAATAAGGTAGCTGCGCGACGCTGTCACAGTTTATTTATTAATATTTGTCAAATAAAGAATCCAATTTGTTAAATTTAAAATTTCAATATTATTGGGTAAGGTCAAACCCAATTTGATTTAGTGATTTAAATTACTCTGTTTTGCCATTCCTTCTAGTAAAAAAAATTTTAGAATATATATGAATTTCTGAAAACTTCTAAAAAAAATTGAATAAACATGGAAGATGAGCAAAGTTAGGTGGATCTTTTTTGGTTGAAAAAAATTTGATAAAATTTCTCATATAAGCAATCATTTTCTCTCTTTTAAGAAAGGAATGTATGTTCTGAGTAATGAGTTGAAACGAGAAAATTTTTATTAATCAGTTAACTGAACCGAAATATTTTATGCCAACCGATTCAACCAGTTAAGATTTACTTCACACTTTACCTTCATAAAGTCTCAGAGCTTTACCCAAATTTTTGACCTTTTCGGAATTCTTGATCCTTCCACCCGATTACCGATTTTCAACTGGTTGTACAGGTTAACCGATTAAGAATTTACTCAACCAGTTACCTGAAATTTATTCGATTCAGGTCAGTTAACCAATTCTAGCCTAACTGGTTCAAATCACTAGTTCTGAGTCATTTCACAATTCAGGTCGATTCTGAATTGACCTAGGTCATTCTTGAATTTTGAAATGCCCTAGATCATTTCTCAATTGGTAAATTTTTTAAAAATTTAAAAGTATATATTCAAGCAATAAATTATATAACTCAAGCAATAATATTAATAATTAAATTTCTATGCATAAATAAAAATTTTGCATTAAAAATTAATAAGTATAAAATTTATTTATAAAATTTAGCTGTATTAAAAAAAAAACTTCAAATAAATAAAAAAAATTTGTAATTAATAAAAGTATGCATTGCATATAAATAAAAAAAATTACAATTAATAGAAAAATGTACAATACAATAAAAAAATTGCATAATTATAAAAATTTTCCAGGAAAGTATATAAAAAAATTCGCATAATGTAAATTTAAAAAAATTATCGATTTTTACATTCTCCACATAGAACACACCCACATCATCATGTACATAACAGTTTATTTCTTCAACAAGAACAAGCATTAGAAAAACAGTTAATTTTTTGGTAGTGACAACAATTTGGATGATTGTTTTAAGGTGTCTTCTTTGATTGATTATTGTTAGATTAATTTAGTAATATTAGCTCATATTATATAATCATTATATAATAAATTATTATGCTTACTTAATTAAAATGTCATTGTCATCATTATTTTGACATAAGGATTGATTTAATCATTTAGTATTTTGTTTAAAGCTTGTTTGTCTTAATGAAATAAATTTGTTTAAAAGAATTACATTAAGAGAAAAATAATTATAAGTTTTAAGTAGTTTAATTTCATTTGTTGAATATCAATTTTTAAGAATTTCATACTGATAAGCAATTTGATATAAATTAATATTAGGTTTTTTATAAAGTACTTTGCATAATAAGGATTATTAACTTATTTTGTTCTTATTAATATCAAGTATACAAATTTTTATAAATTCATCAGTCTCAAATTTTGATTACATTTAATTTTATAGTTTTCTTTTATTCTATTTTATATAAGCTCACTTTTTTTTATACTTAAAATTATTGATTGCCAAACTGTTTTATGCTGTTTAAAAGTTGATTAGATCAAATTTGTATTAGATAATTTTTTTTAAAAAAAAATGAATATTAATATTTTATTTATTTGTTATATTTTTTTAAATTATTTTTTTTTTATTTAAGTTAAATAATTTAATATATTAACCTTAATTTCTTCAAATTGAGCCTGTTATTTTTTTTTATAAAAAGTATAATATTAATTTTTATTTAAATTGATATCTGAATTAATGATTTCAATAATTTTTGAATTTAGTATATTGTTTAAATACTTTACAATTTCAGTATTATATAATAATAATGCTAAATCATTATAATTCTTCTGTATTACATTATTATTAATATCTTATATTTCTTTTACATTACTATCTATTTTTTGTATTCTGTCTATAGTATTAATTTCTTGTATTTTATTTATATTTACATCTATGTCTAAGTTATTATAAATTTCTTAAACTTGTTTTATATTACTATTGATCTCTTGTGACTTCTCAAAATATTTTTTATTAAGTTTGATTCTATTGTTTTACTACTAATGCTACTAATTTTAAAAATAATAGTTGCTTAAGAATTTTCAAAAACTAGTATATAATTATTTCAAGACTCTTAATTTTTTAATATATTAATTAAATTTGTATTATAATAGAAAAGCTACCAAATACTAATTTATTTTATATGCTGTACAATACTAAGTATTTATAGCCTCTAATATTAAATTTTAATAACTTGATAATAATTATTAGTATAATATTAAATAAGTAAAATAAACAAAACTTAAAATAAATAAATTAAATAAATAAATAAAATTAAATAAATAAATAAAATTAAATAAATAAATAAAATTAAATAAATAAAAATTAAACTAAAAAAAAAGATGTAACAACTTAGTGAAGTAAATAAGTTGTCAATTCTCAAGTGATAAGTTGGATGTTCAAATTCTATTAATAATAAAAATTTAAATAATCACCAATGTAATACTAATATTATCCCTTAGATTGTAACACAAGCAAATTTGCCTGTATTAATTTTTTTAAAATTAATTTTTATAATAAAATTTTAACAATTAATTTTAGCAATATACTTTCTAAGTAAA